CCGTGGCCTGTGGACTGGGAGCGTATTGCCGGCCAAGCCGAGCTCTAAGTACTTCAGTGCCAGCAGCTCTGTCCTAGCAGCTAATGGTATGCGCGTGCTGTAAGTGGGGTGGGGGTGGGTGGCTGTCTGTTCAGGCGCGATACTAATGCAATCAGCAATGACTGGTGATATCGTTGATTATGTTAACTTCGGTTCTGACATCCTGAAGCCACTCTCTCTCTTCTATCTCTCGTCTGTCTCGCTCGCTCTCTCTCATCCTCACACCTTTCTTATGGAAATCCGCCTTTCCTAGATTTTTACCGGCACGTGGCAGTTGATAAGAAGACTATCGAGCGAGACTATGACATTTGACATCGCATGCCCCCAAGTCAGCTAGTGCTTCTTGCCGACTTCTGCAACAGGAGTTGCTACCAACTTAGTCAAACTTGATCCGCGACCACGACGAAATATCGCAACGCGATCTCGCGCTGAATGACGACTCCAGGAAGAGGCAGGCTCCGAAGTTGCGCAAATCTTCACACATGGCTTCTCTTCTCGTCGTCGTCGTCGTCGTCTCTCGTCGCGACAGCGCGAATAAGCAATCACGTCGCTCCCATAACGCCTCGCTAACGGGGTCATCATGTCGGCGTGAAATTCTTCCGATGCTCGTGCGGCGCAGCGTGTACGACGTGGTCGAAGCCGGCTGCAGCGCGCCGGACCTGAAGACCCTTGCCACGCCGTAGAGGCAGAGATCCGCCCGCGGCGAAGTGGCATGTGAATGTCGCGGAGCATTCCAGGGCTAACCGTGACACGTGACTGCCAGGACGAATGTCGTGAGCATTCCGGGGTAACCGGCCAACGAGCACGCCGAGACGGAATGTTGGGCTGCTCTCGTTCGGGTTTGTTATCTGACAAGGCGGGCACATTTGGTAAAGGAACGTGGATTTGTCATCGTAGATGCGACTATTAAAGAGTGATTATTCGACCATGCGGCTCCGTTTGAGATGAAAGCCGATGGTATTCTCGTAAAACCGCAGCTGCTTCCATGAAATCGCAGCGTATGAGTGTGCGGCCAACCGGTGCCATTACACACCACGCGACTTCGCGGGCACGTGTCGCCGTGCATGCTCGCTCGGCATGCGTGCTTCGCATGTGCGTATATGTGTGGCGTGCGTGTGCGTGCGTGCATCTGTGGGTGTGGTGTATGGTACCATGTCTGTGTTGTGTGCCGTCTGCCGGCGCGCGGCATCGTGTGTGAGCATGTCCGTGCGCGGCGGGTGTGCGAGCGAACGGTGCGCGAGTGTGGGTGCGCAGCCTTCGTACCGTCTGTGTCCGACGTCCATCGACAGTTCCACTGTCATGCCGTCCACGCAATGCACAGCCACATGAAAAAGGTGACTTGAGATTGATATATTTCGTTAGAGGGGGAAACACTGAAGAACCTGGCCTACCGCTTTCACGAACAGCTGCCCGGACCGACTAATAGAGTGCAACCTGGACTGCAGCCATGCCGCTTTTCGGTCGTGTCGACTCTCGTACAACTTCTCTATGAAGTGATCGTTGTCACTGATGCATTTCACTTGCGCAGGATTTTTGTCTAATATGCCTGTTGACGTTAGCAGTTCACATTCCAGCTCGGCCAGCATTGCGGCCAGCTCTCTCTCTCCTTCTCCTTCTCCTCTCTCTGTGTGAATGTGCAAAGAAGGAGAGGCGTGTTTGTACAGAGAGCTGAAATTGACCGGGTAACGTGCTTTGATTGCATGCTATTTCACCTCTTTATTCGCGGTCTTCCCTTTCCTGTCTCTTTCTCTCGGTCCCTCATCTGTCACTCTTTAATTCTCTCCTACGTGTTCTCGTTCGTCCCCCTTCTCTCTCTTCCCCCCCTCTTCCCCCC